GGTGGGTGGGTGGGTGGTGGGTGGTGGGTGGGTGGGTGGGTAGGTGGGTGGGTGGGTGGGTGGGTGGGTGGGTAGGTGGGTGGATGGGTGGGTGTGTGGGTGTGTGTGTGTGTTTGTGTGTCCAACCCTGTTATGAAGGGACTGCGATTCGGAGACAGCGGGTGCGATCAACAACGTTATCACGCTTCGATCATTGATGCCCGGTTCGAGCATGGATGCTCTTGACAACGATCGAAGTCTGAGTGGACGTTATCATGGTTCGATCATGGATGCTCTGCAGCAACGAAAGGGGTCTGGGTGGACGTTATCATGGTTCGATCATGGATGCCCTGCGGCCAAGAATGGGGTCTGCGTGGACGTTATCATGGTTCGATCATGGATGCTCTGCGGCAACGAAGAAAACCTATGAATCCAGAAGTTAAATAAATTCTATAATAAAAGTAATTCTCGATTTGATTGTTTGGTTTTGACATACCTTGGACCTTCCAAAGCCACAATTAAATCTGGTTTTTTTTACGGTCTTGCTGCATACCAGTAGAATCTGCTTAATTAAAGACTTGTGCCAGTTCGCTAGATGGATATCACATTGAATCATGATTTAATTGTGTAATTTGGGGTCCTTGGTGAACAACCAGAAAGTAGTCGGTTCGTATCACGTTCGAAGGAAAGCTGGCCGAAATAAGTAGATCGCCACAAAGACCGCTTGCAGGTTTATTGGGCGCTGGGATTGCAAGCTCCGAACCTTCCGTGTGGATCTTCTTAGAACTAGGGTATACTGTTCGTCTCGCTGCATACCAGTAGAATCTGCTTACTGCTCAGTGGCTTAGAGACTTGTGCCAGTTCTCTAGCAGGATACCACATGAAATCATGATTAAATTGCCTAATTTGGTGTCCTTCTCTTGTTAACCACCAGTCATGAAGTTGGCTCCTATCACGTTCGAAGGAAATCTAACATGGAACTCGTTTTGCAATCTTCGCGGAGACTGTGGGGTGGGTTCCTACATCAGCCTCGCGCGGACCTCGCGCATCCTCGTCTTTGGTAGGCTTCGGGCCACATACTAGCAGTAGGTTTAATTCCCATCCAGTCTTTATGTAATGCAGGATCTGGTACTGGGCGCAATCAGATCGGCCCCAACACCAGCTATTTGCAGCGATGCCAGTGATGTTTTGTTTTCGAGCGGGTGCTTGCGAAATCGAGCGTCCACACCTCCAATCCACCCCTCCCCGTGATTCACCCTTCACGGGTTTCTAGGATTGCGGTCTGCGTATAATCGTGTGTATTCTAGCCACGAATGAGGCTTTTCAACCCACTGCGCGCGCGTGGCATTTTAGGTGTAAGCCGCGAACACTCCGAAAATGCGTATGCCCCTGCAAAATGCCTGAGGTTTCACTGTTGTTGGGCTGACATCACCCGCCGCGATTGACTTTATGCAGTGGGCCGCAGGGCTTGGGTCGACTTTACCCCACCTGAACCGACTGTGAGGGATCCGGCATCAGCGCGGCTTACGTGGATTATACAACATAGAATTTGGTGGTGTAATAGTAGCAGTGGGAGTGGTGGTGGTAGTAGTAGTAGTAGTAGTAGTAGTGGCAGTAGTAGTTCGCTGACCACACCCGCTGGCACCACCAACTGTCTTTGAAGAGTCAGTGGCAGTGATGCTTTTTCTGACGTGGTTACAACCTGTGCACTTCTCTCGTTCATGAGATAAGGGGCTCACCACCCATCTTTCTGCAGGGGGGCGGAGGGGGTGTGAGGGGGCTCCGCCCAACGAAGCTCTCCCTCACACCTCAGGTAACGTACCTGCGTCGGTCTGCGCCTGGGCCCCATCGTGGGCAGCTGGCGGGACCTTCACCCTCGTTCATCTTCCATCTCATTTCGTGCTACGTCATTCCTTTGTGTCTGACGTAGCAAGGGGCAGAAACCTTACCCCTGACGGATCATCTCATCTCGTTTTGCATGCCATTCTTGATGTCTGGCATGCTTGGCACCAAACTTCCATTTCATAAGTGCCTTGAGCTAACGGGCCTTGTTGCACTTTCGTTATCATCACCATTACCAACATCACCGTATTTCATCTTGTGTATCGTGAGACATTCATCCGTGAGTGCGCGAACATTTTCTCAGTGTGTGCGTGCGCGTGCTTGTGTGAGTGCATGTGCCCTGTGGGTCGTGCGGGAGTTCAGTTTGAAGGACCTTGCCTTGCGGCCTCACGGGTTGTGCATTGCATCGTGTGAGGCTGGTGTGCGTCGGACAGAGCAAGCCTTAGAAATTGGGGTTCTTTTTGTTTTATTGGGTCTAGCTGCCTAGCTGTGAGCCTGATCTGAGGCCAGCATTGACTCGGAGGCGGAGTCTGTGATACAGTTCTTTCTCAGGGTTGTACATCCTACCAAACGAAGCATCTCTGAGCAACTCTTGGTGAACGGTCGGTCGAATCTTCAACCCGAGAGCAAGGCCGTCTGCTTGTCACAACACTCGGCGCAGCGCAGGCAGAACCTCCAAATCGCGGGTGGAACAACTGCTTGCGGCAATTGGCCGGAGCTCTCAGATCAGATGTCAGCTGGAGTTTCCATTCCGTCGTCTGGTGCCGAGAACCTGGCAAACAATGAGATCACTGCTACAGCAGTCTCGAGGCCAATCGTGGCCAATTGGCCGAGGAAGGGAAAGCTGTGAATGTGTGCGCGCCTGTAACACAGGATTGCCCCCGTGCTGCCCTTCTTCAATGCCCTCGAGGCCTTGTTCACAGCAAGAAGATGCTAGGGGACCGAACTGTCTTCGAGGAGCTCCTGCTTTACCACAACCCGATGCTAGGGGACGCCGGAGCCCAGGCCGCTCGGCTTCTGGTTTTTCCCACAAGCGTGGCCGCTCGAAGCATTCGTTGTGTGCCTCATGACACATGACCTCGGCGGCATTCTCGGCTGGAAGACACCAGATCCAATTTACAACCTCTAAATGCGGGCATGGGTCGCGCAAGTATTACAGGAAGACCTAACATGCTTGGACAAACTGCTAATCAAAGAATCGCTCAAACTATTCAGATCCTCTTAGCCCTCGTGAACCACAGTCAAAATTTGGATGCGAAAGAGTTTCCAAAAACTCCGCAAATTTCAAGATTTCTGCAGTTGGTGGCCACAGGTGTTCTGAAGGACAAGCAGTCGACAATCACATGCATTGTGTCCAAAGAAAGAAGCAGAACGGAGGAGACCACATTCAGTCAGTCGCGAGATATTTGTTCTCCCCGTTGCGGTTCTCCAGGGAAGATTGCACCAATCGGCTGGAATCGGATCTGTGGCGACGCTTCGGCGCGAAAATTGCTTCTCATCCTTCGGTTGCGCTGTCCTCGTGATGCAGATCTGGCCCGTGCGCTCTCGTTTTTGGTAGTGCTGCGTCAGTCAGCAGGGCATGAGATGAGTGACATTCGATACGCATACTCTGCGATGCCCTGGGCACGGAATCCATGAACTCCGGTTCTAATTGATTGATGGGGGTACAAAACCCCATGACCTACGACGACTACTCATGACTCTATGACCGTGAAGCCGTTTTCCAAACTGTTCTGCCCCTGCCACCAGCTGGGCGATGCTCGGGGCCCTTCCCCTCGGGCCCTTTTGGGTTGCAAGGGTCCCTTGCCTTGGCCTTCGCCCTGGGTCCACATTCCACCAGCCTTCCAGCCTTTGCCGGCTATGCTGTGACCAAGACTCCCAGACAGATCACACCACATCTCGTCTCAAATTCGCTGCGAGATGACATGGTTAGTGTTACAATTCAAGCATGACATGATTGCCACGACTGCACAATATGATTCTGTCATGTTCCAGTGTTTCCATGACGCAGAGGCACTGGCCGAAGCACTCAATCCTGACAGCTGGCCGCCGCAACCTGGGATTTTCCTCTGATTAATCCGTCGTGCCTCTCTTTGCCCTGTACAGTGGAAGGCTTGCCGGGAGGGGCCTCAAGACGCTCAGCTTGGCCGCTTGCAGCATCGGAGACGTTTGCATCTCAGTTTCCAGATTTTCCAGGTCAAAGCCGCCGTGACCCGCCGTGCACCCGTCCAGGCTGGATGCCAAGCTCTGATGGCCGCGGCCCGTGACTACCAGGAGCCCCAGCAGCGTGTCTCCGCCGAGCTGTCCGGCTCGTGTGTGTAAGTGTGAAGGTATTGACATCTCTGGATTTGTCCTGCAACTCCATTACGGATGACTCCGCTCCTGCAGTGTCTTTGGTGGCAGCCTCTGTTCTCCATGCAGCTGTCGTAGCCAGGGCTTCTTTCGAGCATCAGGTGCTTGCTCAGCCTAAGTCTGCTTTGGAGTGCTTGTCTCTCTCCATGAACTTGCTCAGCACGCCCCTCAGCTTGTGCCGCCACGTCGCATGTGCACAGCGCACACTCCTCGTCATGTTTCGTAGGCTCGTTTGGCATCTCGCAGCTCATGGACGGTGTACCCCTGGCATGCAGCATCAGACAATTCCTTTGCGACAGCACATGTGCATTCATTCATATCTACAGGTTCGCTTGCAGCTTAGAAGACAGGACAGTGGGTGGCCGTTTTGTCTCGACGCATCTGCGAATCTGTCTGGATGTTCAGTTTTCTACAACGTGGGTGATTTTGGACGTTTTTCTCACATTGCATACATGCACCTTAAGCTCAGAACACTTTTACACCAGCAATATGGAATTACCAGTCGCTAGGCCGCTAGTCAAAGTCAGTTATCGGACAGGCTTGTGAGAGTTATCTTCGCTTCTTGCAATGCAACATTTTGTGTGAACTGTGTCGTGTTGTATCTTCTGCTGCTACAAGACTTGTGAATCTTCTTGACTAGCCACTCTTCCACAATAAATCCCCCGGTCGGGATTATTCTTTGCCTTTGCGAGCTTGCTTTGTATGACACTTTCTTCAATCATTTCAGCGCACTCACGCTGGAAGATTAGTCACACGACCCGGAATTGTTCACACGTCCCGGACCTTTGCCGGAAGAGGTTCTTCTTTGCCAATGCTGCAAGCCCTTCGATTTTCAATGTGCAGCGAAGACTAGGCGATGTGGGAGCACGGACAGTAATTAAAGCAAGCTGTATGTCAAGCCAAATCTTCGGCCATCACAGTGCCCTGGGTTCCCAGCAGAGTCAATGTAAAATCGAGTAAGTAGCGCGAAGCTGCCGCAACGAAGATGAAGAGACCTCGAGAGGTTGCCCAACAACAAAGCTCCTATAGGAAACCAGAAAACAGATGTGCAGCATCTTTGAGACGCTCGACGCTGCAGGTTGCCAGCAACATTGAGGGTGCCTTGTGCCAGATCGATGTGTCAACCCAGGCTCTCTAGCTTCTGCAGTGTGGTGAAGAGTCTGGACCCTGCAGCAGTGTCCGTTGGTTTCTGGCATGTGCAGTGGCATCACGGATGTGATGCCAGGATGGTGGCCAAGGGAAGACCAGCTTCGTGGCAACCGATGCGTTGAGCTACTCGCATTGAAACTTTGACGTCGATGCAGCATTCCAGCTCCTAGCTTCACAACGCTCAGCAAAAAGGTCCTCGAAGCAGCAGCAAGGCATGGTTCGGTTGCTGTAGATTCCCATGGGGACCTGAAGCGCCTTCATGCAGGTAAAGTCCAAGTTTCAAGGCCTACGCTGAAAGGAGGCAATTGCTTGCTGTGTCAAAATCGCTGGGACCAGCTGTGAGCTAAAAAGTGATGACGAATACTCTGCTGCAGCGCTAAACGATTGCATGGTTCTGCAAGGCACGTGCTGTTGTCATGCCAGGCGAGGGCCTGGGACAGCTATTGTACAGTTACCGCGCGGCTGTCGAGCTGCAAAACGCGGCTCGCTGCAGTATTTCCTACCAAGTACAAAGTCCCACTAAATGGTTCTACTCAATCATGACAAGCCTGATGTATGAATGACTTGAGATGGACTTGGCCGCTAGTGACACTAGTGTCCCGAAGACCAATCCGACTGAGAACGCAGAAGGCAATGGGAGCTCGAAAAGATGCTTCATTTTGCTCAGGTCATAGCACGGATCCGCGCATTTTTCTCTGATCCTGAGACCGAGAGCATGCAATCAGGTACAGGTTGTGAAACAACTAGTTGCAGCCTGTTTTCTGCCAAGGTTTGATTGCATTGAGCAACGAGGGTTTCTTGGAATCGGATGAGCATGCAATGCTGCGCCAAAATGGTATTTCAGTAGGCTTCCCCAAAGATTAGCTAGATTCTAGACCTCGCGGACTGTGTAACGCACTTGTGCGCGTAGGAACAAACCCTCGCCACGCATGAGGGAATTTGACTCTGTGACTTATCGAGACGAGCGGCCGGCAATCGGCCCCGCGGTGCTCGGGGCGGGCGCAGAAGTGCGCACCAAGTTTTCGGGCGGTGTGCCGGGGCCGCTGCACCTTTGTAGGATTTTGGCTAACGCGTCGTTACCGTCAGGTTTGTTGCATACTGTTTTCTGGATTCAGCTAGTAACGGCAATAGCAAAAGTTGAGTAGTTATCTGCTCAGACTTGAGGTGGCTGACCTATACCACATTCGTTTATGAAGAGCTCTGGGAAAAGTTCGTGGCAAAGTGTCGTTAACCCTAGCCGGAATTGTTGTCAGCCCGCAACGGGTGTGTCGGCGGGATGTCTGGCTGGCTGCTACGTGTTGCGGCTCCGTGAAAGGACGTGGAATGCGCCGGTGCATTGTGATTTCTGAGAAATTGTGCTAGCACTAGGCATGCACTCCCCTCCTGGGATTGTTTGAGCCCAGACAGCATGTCTCTTTCCTCGCGAAGTGGGCCCTCTCGAGTCTTTAGCCTTTTTGCACCACGCCGCGTGGGAAAACACATGATTGCTTCTGCGTGCGCTTCTGCTGCGTTCGCTTAGAATTTCATCGGACCTTCCTGAGCTCGTGGCCGCAGCTTGAACATGGATCCTGCACACAGAATCTTATCTGCAACACGTTCCCTCCCAAATAAGGTCCCTGCATGATCCCTGTTCCCTCACCGGGGTAATCATAATCTACGTCACAAATGCGAACACACAAACGCCTTGCCTTTGCACCCGCGCATTCAGAATCTTTCGTCGGCGGGGTTGGGTTTGCCAGACTTGCGAGCCGCGTCTCACGCCGGGATGCCGATAGCTACTTCAAGTGTGCGGCGACGCATCCAGTGTTCCTGATTGTACCTTTTTCTCACTATTTCTGACTGCATCTTGCATGTCTACTTCAAGACCCGAGGCTTCACACTGCAGCCTGCATATCTGCAGATTTCAAGACGTCTGTCAATGTTTAACGATGCAGTCTTTCATGCTTCGTTTCGCTTCGCTTCTCATGGTTTTCGTCACCGGCTTTTGCGACCCTTTGCAAGGTTAAGTAAGTTTGGCGCTCACATCCATTTTCTGGAGGTTGACGTGAAATGTCAGTACACTAGCAACTGTGACAGGCATTGCCAATAGCTGCTACTCTTTACAGAGTGCGATAGAGAGAACACTTCTGCGATGAAAGGCGGAGAATTCTTGCAATGCAGGTTTTGCCTGTTGACTTTTTGCACGTTTTTGGATGTGTCATGGAAGTTGTAGCTGTCGGAGACAAAGCATAGTGGGGCATGCCAGACAGATTTGCCTGCCCGGAAGGCTATCAGCCTCAAGGCGGCGAGTGCATGCAGAAGCTTGCTTAAGTCCAGAGCCGTGTACTTGTCTCTGCAAGATGCGGTAGCCGGTAGCTGCCACCACAAGTCCTGACCCGAAAACGTGCATTGTGGCTATGGATGCACACGCCATGGTCCTGTCAATCCAAGGGTTGACGCAAGTGCAACTGAAGAGCCCTCATTATTGCATTCACCAGATGGTTAAAGCATGGTGCACATATTCTGCCTATCGCGGCGGCAGCGAAGAGCAGGACTGAGGCGCGGGAGCTTTCTTTGTACCGTGTCAAGTGCATTGGCAGGACTTCCTTTGCTCTTTGGCATGCTCTACCGGCACAGCCTGCCACGATGGGGTGCTGTCAGCTCAGTGCCAGGCTGCCGGTCAGCCTGGAGCTGAGGGCTCCAAGTTCGCCTGAAGTTCGCTAACAGTGCAGGGTTTGCTGTCCTTCGCCTCTGGCTCGGCCCAAGGCTGGCCAGGTGCCAGTACCAGCGCCTTCAGGGCCTTGCATGCCCAGTTTGAGCACTTCAACTTGCAATTGCATTTTACAGGAACGCTGCATCAGCTTCAGTGAAGTCTCGTGGTTTTGCTTCGGAACAACAGCTCGTAGCAAATGTAGCTACTGGGTGGTAGCTGCATGTCATCCGTGTCTTTCCCCACAAGCTGCTTTTGCGCGGGAGTTGCCGTTGTAACGAAGCGTGGGGCTTTCCGCATAGGTCCTTCAGCGCTTAGCCCGGGCGGTCGGCTGACCAGTAAGTCGCCAGCTCGACATCGCAGGTACAGCCTGCTGGCGTGCGCAGCGATGTCTGGACTGGCGCAGAAACGGCGTCAGAAAGTTGCTGTGGTCGGAGGGGGCCCTGCGGGCATGACAGCAAGCAGGTATCTCGATGAGTTTGGCCACAGTCCTGTGGTTTTTGAAGCTGCAGATGAGAGTGGTGGAATATGGGCGCCGCGGCCCAAAAACCGTGTGGTGTATCGTGGCTTAGTGACCAACATTCCGACCATGTGCATGCAGTCCTTCGATCTGGACTTTCCCAAGGGCCTCACCAGCTACATCACAGGTCCCGAGTTGGGGAATTATTTGAGACTGTACACAGACCATTTCAACCTGAGACGGTTCGTGCGGTTCAGCACAACTGTGAAGGCGGTGGTACCGATGAGGTCAATAGAAGAAGAGCTCGACCAAGGCCAGGGCGCCTGGGAGTTGACCTGGGAGAATCCCGATTCGACCACCAGCACCGAAGTCTTCGATGCTGTGGTCGTAGCCACAGGCCACTACGAGTTCCCATTTGCACCAGAAATTCCTGGACAAAGTGAATGGCTCGCAGGAGCAGGCCATCGAAGAGTAGTGCACGCGATTTCCTATGATGACCCGGACGCATTTAAAGGCGAGTCGGTGTTGATTGTCGGCGGACGATCCTCAGCAGTCGACATAGCTCGGGAGTTGCGCAGCAGGGTTTCGTCGCTTTATGTGCTGGACAAGGGCTGCCGGGAAACAGACGTGATCGGAACGTGCTTCCATGTTCCATTTGGAGCCAGGTTGTCAGAAGGCGGGCTTGTCATGGTAGAGGGTGCCGCGCTCTCGGGAGCTCCAGTGGACACCATCATCCTGGCGACCGGATACACATACCAGTATCCTTTCCTCGACGAAAAAGATGTGGGGTTGACCTTTGGATCTGAGAAAAGGTATGTAGCCCCGCTGTACCAGCACGTGATACATGCACGCCGGCCGAGCCTTTCGTTTGTGGGCATTCCGCTTGCAGTGCCCTGTCCAGTTCCATTGTTCGAGGCTCAGTCCTATTTTGCAGCATCACACCTCAGTGCCCCGTGGACACTTGAACGCGAACGGTTGCAGTGGGTGGACGAGTGCTTCGAAGCAGTGGAGAGCATCCAAAACTTGCATTTCCTATCTGGGCAATCGTGGGATTACATGACAGGTCTTCTCAAAGAAGCCGGAATGGCGACGGAAGACCATGAAAGGTACGTGAGGCGCCTCCGTCTGGTTCAAGCTATATACCAGGATCGCGTGCAGAGGAGACCTGATAAACCTTGGGATGATGACGAGTATCGACGGTGCGAGTACAAAGCTGATTATGACGACGACAGCTTCCAGGTGATCACGCCCGATGGTTCTCTCAGTTTCGGGACATCGAAGATGTAGGCGGAGGAGCCACTGCTCGGGCCTTCGCTCGCGAAGTGGGGAGACTGAGTTGCGGCGACCAGCTGTGACCAAGTGGCAACAATAGTGGCTTCATGACGGCTTTGGGCTTCTAGTGCGGGTCTCCGAGCCGCCTAGGCTCGACTGACTAGCTTCGCTCTCGCACATGAAAGAATCTGGCACCAAGGTGGCCTAGGCAAGTCGAGGTGTGCTTGTGGTCTGGGTTGCAAATGTGATTTTGTGAGGCTATGATGGCGCCGAGCAGACCCGGCAACTGTTGCGCTCCAAGCGCTTTCTTGGGAGATGGGCTATCTGAGTTTGGCGCGAGAGAAGCTAGAGGTGCTGTCCATGCGAGCCAGAGACATCCTGAGCTGGGCCTAGTTACCGGCTTCGTCTGGACTGTCAGTGTGACTTATGCTTCCTGCCATCGCGTTCCACAGGCAGGTGAAACAGCACATGTCCTCTCCATTGCTAGCGAGTACCGACAAGAGGCTCGCTCATGCCAGGGCCTGTGCACAACATAGTGTACAAAGCTTTGTTAGAGTTTCCCTCCGCAGGCAGTCATCCTGCAGCGATCTGCTCGACTCCTGGGATACAGGCGTGGATGGCGGCAAAGCTGTGTATGCTTCAACCAAAAGCATGTTAGTGCAGAGCCCTCATACGGCGACCTGGTGAGACAACAGCACTGAAGCTACCTACCTTGCTCGAACTTCCAGGTTTCAATTCTGCGGCTTCCGGGCTGCGCTTGCTTGTGTTAGCTTCCCTTGGTGCATGGGAGTTGCGCCAGATTGACCACAACAGGAACGCTGGGTCGGCTGGGGGACGAAGCTGGTTCAGTATCGGAAGGTGCATAGCTTACAGCACTGAAGCTGTCGAGGCATAGTCCAAGTGCTTAGGCGCTGGAGAAAGGCTTGGCAGGAGGACGGATTGCTCCTGCCTTGTCATCCGCCACTTCCCTTTGATTTTTTGTAACCGGCGAACAAAGGCAGCGACGGATCCTGTGCTGTTGATCGACGGCTGGGATTGTGGCTTGCTCAGCTAGTGGAGAAGAACTGATGTGAAGCTTAATTCTCTGAAGACACAGTTGGAATTCAACGAGCTGTTTGGGGATCAATAGTTTTTTGGGGAACTTGTTCGCAGCCCGAAGGGCGTGATCCAGTCTTCACGCGTCGCTGAGTCAACGGTGTCTGGTTTTGAATTTCGCTTCCAGTGTGTGTTGGTTTGTGCTCCTGTCTGTCCCATCCAAAGCACAGCAGTGGTCGTGGCTCCCTGTTGGCCCTAACTGGAGCAAGCTGGTTGTGCTTTGCATTGCGAGGTATGCTGATCGGACCCGCTTCTGAGTTAAGCTGGCTCGCTTGACAGTTCGATGAAGCTACTCATGTTGTGAGACGAGTGCCGGCTTGATGGCGGCAGGTTCATTCAGAAAATGTCATCGCCTCCCTTCAGTGAGGGTCACCAGCCATGGTATGCAGGCTCGTTTGCTCACTGACGCCTTGGAACTAGAATGATATCATGCACACGAGGTCCTGTGAAATCTTCTCACATTGCCAAGGTGAGAGAATATGCGGACCTGATTTTTTCAAGGTGGCCTCCTTTGTTGAGATTGGGCCTGCACCATCCTGCACCCCGAAGAAGGGGTCTTTCTGGTTTTTCTGGAGCACAGCACGTATGATGACGTCCGTGGTCTGATCCGTGCTGAGAAGAGAGCATCCTTGGCCCAACCAAGATGACGTGCACGGTGTCATATGTTCTGAAAAAAAGCATCCATGGCCGTAGTGCAACCATGATGACGACATCATGATAATCTTCACTCTGCCATTTTCGCCTTTTCGTCTTGCACGACGTGCTTTTTGTCCCACGCAGGCCAGGCAAAACGACATAAAACAACAAAAACAACGCGGGCTTCTAAAATTTGCGTTCGCCACGTTTCCCGCAAGATTTACCTGCCAAGTGTCCGGACCAGCTTTAGAACGCTGGGCGAGAAGAGGTCAAAGGCTGAGTTATTGCCTGCTAGGCTAGGCTGGTTCCACGTTTTGCTCCGCTGATGAGCGCTGCAACTGTTTAGCCTTGAGACCTGTCGGGCCCAACAGGGAACCGAAACCGTAGCTGCTACGCTGTTACACCTTCCCACCGATCTCCTCAGTTGAGAAGCCATGCCTGATTGGTATAGCAAGAATTGGAACGATCGCTCAAACAAGTGGCAACATGAACAAAGCTGGTCCTCGGATGGCTAGCAAAGTTGGTCTAACAACGGCTCAACCTGGAACAGGTCTTCGAACCCTACGGCATCTGCAGCCGCTTCACCTTCTGCTCTGAAGCCTGCTCTTCCAGTGTCGTTTCACTCTGGCCACAAGTTTTGGGATCGTCAGCCAGTAGGCAAACAAGGCCATCATTTTTTTCAACCAAGTTCAGCCTACTGAATGGAGCAACAAGCAAAGCTTGGCGGGACGTCCCATAAAAGACATTCGGGCATGGGAGCTGTACCATGGAGGGCTTTCCGAATTTCCATTCCGTCTCTTGAGCGAAGGACGGTATCAAGGAATTGTTTGGACCCGATGCGAATCTGAACCCATTTTCGCGACCCAACTTTTGCAAAGAGTCAGAGAGCTGGATCTCGATTACACGAAGCGGCAAGAAACTTCTTTTCGGGCGAAATTTCTGACAAGCATGAGGATGCCACGAAATTTATGCAAAGACTGTCGTCAGACTTGGTGGACAACATGAAGGCCAAGTTGCCAGCAAAACCCACCACTGATGAAGCTGGGGCTTTGGCAAAAGCCAAGGCCAAGCTAGAGCCCATGGACTAGCACTAACCCTTGACAAAAGGGAAGCTCAGTCTAGCGATCCTTTAAGCATCGAGTTGCTTTTGCAAGCGCTCAAAGAAAGCCAGTCGAGCAAAGATTCAGCAGAAGAAGAAGCCCGGGAACTTTTGCAAAAATCCTCCCAAGCAGGGTCATGCTAAGCAGGAATGGCCGAGCACCCGTGAAAAGAAACTGGCTGCCCGTCTGACACCAAACCACTTGTCAACGGTGATTGCGGCTGCTCAATTTGAGGCTTCGTGACTCGTTAACAAAGCCCTGCAGATGAAGAGCCATCGTCGGAAGCGTTTGAAGGAGCAGATTTGGAGATGTTTGCACTTTTTTATTCTTCTTTGAGTACATGAAGTCTGTTGTGGATTGGCGTTTTAATTCTGTTGAACATGTGCCGACAGCCTTCCACCTACATGTATGTTGGACCAACATGAATTACTGTTGCAACCAAAGAATGCAACAGAATGGCAACGTTCCGACAGATCTCGCCAGGTCGAAAAAATCAGGCAGAGTTTCGTTTCGTTTTTGGCACAGTTCAGCCATGTCTGAGTCCTATTCTACGTTGCAAATTGCAACTTGTGACTCATATCGCCAAGCATGGGTTTTAGCTTGGCAACGCAAGCTGAACTATCCATTTACAACAGTGCACCTCCAGAGGACCGCATTAGGATTCCAAGCCAACGGCAAAAACTCACTGGAACTCCTATTCGAAGTTTGGTCGTAGGATTTGGATCAATGATCAAGCTCAGAAAGAAGCTGTATCCAACCCAGCAGTCTTACAGATGTCAACTTTCAAGACAAAAGGCATGGAACTTGCTTTACGACTTTGCCAGCTTCGCAACGCAGCCTGCAAAACAGTCGCTTTCAAAGATGACTCCAAGAAGAGCTATATGTGCTGATTCGACCCAGCAATAACCTCGAAGAGCCTAGTCGCAGCAACTTGCTTCAACTTTTGAAGGCAACGTGTCAGGTGCGCAACATGACATGGCCCAAACGAGCCATGGGACTTCAAATCCAGTTCGCATCGGACCCTTCTTTTTCGTCTCGCGTGTCCAAGTGGCTGAGAAGCCAAGTTCTCCGCTTTAAGCACGTCCTAGTTCCTTTTTCATCCTTCTTGCAAAGTGAGAGACCAACCCCGCAAGAACTTGCAGATATTGTCCATAACAAACATTGGGATGAATGGCTCATCCATAATCCCTCTGCGGAGCTACCTTGCTGTTGCGAGGAGTTTCGCAATCTTCCTTCTGAGGCTTGCATTGTGGATGATCATGTGGTGACAGGTTGAAAACAATCACCCATTCATCCAGCTTGTGGATTGTTGGGAGATGGAAGTGCAGCATCAACGTTTTTTCCATCGCGAGACAGATTTCTCAAGACCAGTTGCCAACAGTTCGAAATATGACGATGCAAGCATGGCTTACCTGCCGAATTAACTGAAGCATTCAGTCAGATGTTGTTGAAAGAGGCAATTGCATGTTCTTTAATTAGAGAAGCAACCTACTTGGGGAAATATCCAAGCAGCCCCGAAACAAGCTGACTCCTAAGTTCGTCATTCATTATGAAGATCATGCGGCCAATCATCTGATGCTTTTCTGTCCTCGTTTCTATTACCGAGCCGCACTGAACATCCGGCAAGATCCTGATGTGATTGAAAAATGCGCAGCACTAGCAGGACTGGGTGCTTCAACGGATTCCAAAAGCCATAAAACGGCACTATGCCTGGGCCAGTGATTTTCAGGTCAGTCTTCCTACAGGCTTTGTGTTTCTGAAGCGAAAGAAAGGCGTATGCCAAAGCCGAACGATTATATCTTATGCCGCCTCACCTTTTCCAACAACTTCAAGCAGCTTCTCAGGCTACCGTGCTGATGGTCAAAACGGTCTGGGACAGGTCGTTTGAACTTCAACGCATACCACAACTGTGGTCGGACGTTCACAACTTTTTGCATCACACTCCCAGTGGAGTGCATCTCAAAAGTCAATGATGACCTCATTGGCTTTGGCCGGGAAACCTCGTACACATCACTCTCGACAGGTGAAATCCGTTAGAGTGATCGATCTCCTCGCGATTGTACAGCTATCGTTCGATGCAGGGGTAATTCAGGCAGCTGGACGAGTTTTTCGTCAGTGTCGAGACACGTGTATAGGAAATCAAACAAACCCAGTGTTGAGAAGGGTTCCCATATCAGGCAACGAGAGCTTGCATGGGAAACTGAGTGGAACCATCAGCTCAACCAAGTTGAGATGTTTGACTGTCAACGTTCAGAAGTGTTTGTCTGCAGATATGTGGATAGCAGATTGATCTTTTGCAGCTCTAAAATCAGAGTCTGTGATCAGCTCAACAGTTTTTGCATCTGTCGTTCTATGGATCAACCATCCAGCTGGAGATTGTCACAAATCACAAGTTTCTGGGCTTCATCAGTTCGGCTCCTGATCGGTCCAGTACTGTCAATTTTCCCAGGGACACATGGAGCATCGGACACGGTCGGTGTGCTGGATCTTGGACAGCCAGAGCATCAAATTATCATTCGCGCAAATCGCTGATTACCAGGTATGCCTGGCTTCCACAAAGTCGACAATCGCAAGTTTCTGGTCCCTGTATCTGAACAAAGGATTTCCAGAATCGTGCCTCTAGTCTTGAACGCCGAGTCAGGCCTTCTGAGGCTGTCAGCGTTGCTAGTTTTTTGCCACTGTTCAAATTGTCTGTCTAGCATGTCGTCATGGGTTAAGTTGCCAGCATTGTCTCACTCGCATTTATTGTGATGTACATAAGATTTTCGAAGCCCTCATATACATGCCAGAGTGGCGGCTTGTGTATGGGGAAACCCGTGACCAAGGGACCGGTGCACGCAGTATAGAGCAGGGGGGCAACCCCCTGAGCATAACAGGTTGCCCAACGAAGAGGGCCGTGCCACGCTGATACTGGGTGTGACCAACCCAGCGTACCTGCCAATGAGTCTGCAAGTGCTTTCGGCATGGCATGGGGCTAAGCCTGGAACCCCAATGTACTGTCCAGTGGCCATCTGTTTTCGCCTCTGAAGGTAGGAGTGTCTTCAACGAATAAGTCAGCCAGAGGAGCACGCAGGTGATAGTGAGTCCTTTAGCCAGTTTGGGCAGTTTCGTGTGACACGTCTAACTCACAACTGATGCAGAAGCTACAGTTATGTGATCAACCGTTTAAGACACCGGCGTGTGCTGGATCAAACGCGCTCACACGTTTGAGCAGGCGTAAAGATTCAAAATTCTGCAGGGGTGGCTCCTTCAGGTATGGTTTGCAGGCCAATGCACGATCAATCCTGGTACCAGTAAAATGGACTACAGCACGAGGCTCTGATACCTGTGCCTCCGTGAAAGGCGAACCGCATTGACGCAGTCTATCCTGACCCCGGGACACCATGGCGTTATCCGAACGCAGGCGAACTCGATTTCGATGTTTTGTGAAACAACAAGCAAGACACGGTGGGGGCCGGGGGGCGCTTTTGCTCTGGAAGGCTGCATGGCAGGCAGAGCCGTGGCCTTGGCTTGAGTTCGAAGATGCTGTGTTTGAGTGCAAGTGGTGGAGGCAGAGCCAGTGCTCGAGCTCATCAAGGAACTGCTGAAGCCTTCAGGCGGGACATGCTGGGTTGTCGTCTTCGACCCGGTCCAAGTCTTGTGTCAGGCGATAAAGACACCTTCCCGGAAGATGGAGATGATCAGGACCCACATGCGTCTTTCGGCATTGCCACAGAATGCTTCGCGATTGCAGCGACAGGGAAGGTTGCATGAACATCTCCTGGAGCGAGGTTCGGTGCTCAGTCTCAGGTTGAGGAAAGCCGCTGGAACCTTTATTAAATTAAATGCTAAACGTTGTTCTTCATGTTTGGTCATTAGACAGTGGATGAGCAGATGCGTTTGAAATACGAGCTCCTGAACAGGAAGAGGAGCAAGTAACATGTCCGACTGAGTTCACCGCATTGCCACGGGAAGCAGCTAGTCATATGTTCCGGACTGTGCAGCTCGCACCAAGATTTGCCCAAGGTGAAAGTGGACAAAGGCCTGGACATGGGTTGATAGCCGTTTCCACTTCGAGAACCATGCTCCAATTGCGCAGTCTCCCCTACTTCGTGGACTCCGAGTGTCGCATCTTCCAATGTCTTTACGAGGCAGAGCCACAGCAATGCCGGCATGCTTCAAGGGTCCTCGGACTAACGCTCAAACGGGACAGGGCGTTTGAATCCACAGAAAGGTGGCAGCTTGAAGCGGCGAAAGAAGGACAGCGGCTCCCGCGACTGCGGAACACCCAAACTGGTCAGCAGCCGCATGAAGCCCAGAACCTTTGCGTGAATGCGAAGGCCCCAGCATTGAGGCCTTGCTGCTGAGGATCGTGCTCCATGGCAATGGGCACACAGGTCGCTGGTTCATGCTAGTCACTCAGCCTGCTTGCTTAAGTTTCTCACATGGGTGCTCTCCTACATTTTCCCAACATGGCAGTGCACTCTCCCAGAAAGGTCTGGGCTGTGGCGTGAAATGGGCCTACTGCAGAAGGCAAGTTTGCGTTGCCACTTCGATTTCGAAGATGGTTCCGTAAGATGCAGGTTGGCCTCACGGTCGAGGAGCTTCGCCATCTTCCGCACGATGGGCCTGTGCCTCCTGGCACTGTTCCGGACGAGGTTCACGCATGGGTCGCACAAAGAGGTGCACACGGACTACGTGAACTCAACTGTATGTCGCAGCTTTCTAAAGGTCCATGCAATGTTACATGCAGTAAAGTCGCTTTCAAGACGAACCTTCCTGTCTAGCTGCCCCACCACAACTTTTTTTGGTTAATTGCAACGGAACTCAAGTTATTGAGCAAGTGCCAGTATTGGAAAAAATATAGCTCTCGATCAAGCGTTTCTGAAACCAACCAACTCACCCACAGCTAGACAATACTGCTCTGGCTTGAACCCGTGCGGCCTTGGCACATCGAAGCACCTGTGATCAAGTTTCAGTGATGCCGATGAAGAAGCTGCTGGTCAGAAATGGGCACTTGTGCATGCAAGCCGCCTGTGAATCATTTGGGGGCCTTCGCCTGCAAACATCGCTGCATAGAAGAGAGCTCTGACTGAGGTTTCGCATGACAAACACTGAGCTGAAGCTCAAGCGAGAGCGTGGCGCACCTTGCAAATGCTGCCGGTGTCTGCTGGTGAGAGCCATAAGAGAGACTCTGCCTGTGTCCAGGCATGATGGATGCGTTCAAGGCAGGAAAGGCTGCTTTGGAGGACCGGTCCGCTGCCTAGCTTGGAGGAGCCAGGGACCAGAGGCCAGTTCCAGTTCATCAGGACTTGCGACTGCCCTACTTCCTCGCCTACGGATCTGCTCTGGCTGCCTTGCGCGAGGGCCAGTTCCAGCCGCCGCTCACTCTAAGTCACCACGAGCAACTCAAACCACCACGAACACAGAGCAACCTCAGGTATGAAGATGACATTCATGTGGGTATCTATTCTTGGGATCTTGCAGCACTGCAGCGCCAGTGCACAGAATGCCTCTCGGCAAATCAACTTAAGCTTTTGCAGTTGTGTTCAGCATTTGCCAAAGCATTCATGCTCTGTGCACGCAGGTACAGCCAAGGAGCGTGACAGCTTGCTGAAATCAACGTTTGACAGGTCAATTGCCCGTATCAGGGTGGAAGCCCAACTGCAAGGTGTAGATGTGCAAAGCTTCGCGCCAGGTTTGGGTTCGAGCCTGTACAAGAAATCGTCGACAACCCGCTGCAGGCCTGCTGTCAAACGCTCGAAACTCGCTTGGCTGCACGCCGAAAGTGCCACAGGCATCAGCTGGCAATAATGTTCAGCAGAACCAGGCCAGAACTCATGGAGTTGGTTGCCAGTTATGAGGTTATGGCGATGTCCGTGCAAAGGCGGTGGTCGTTTGTCCGAGATACTACATCGCTGAGGCTAGATTGCCTTTGACTTCGAGCTTGCATCGAGAGCTGGAGCTTTTACCCATGTTGAGGGCTGGTCCGATGACATGGCCTTCCCCATCTTGTACAAGTTTACGCACCGGGAAAGCTTCGTTCGTTTTGACATGATGGTCTCTGGGTTGCAAAGGTGTCATCTTGTGTCCCCGGCCCGAAATAATTTTCGCTCCGAGGTCTTTACGATGCAGTTTGGGCAGCTCTGGGACTTTGCGGATGGTGGCGCGGAGACCTCATCAGGCCCGGCACTGTAGCTGCAGCTTTGCGGTTCTCGGACGCAGGGTGTGGAGTTCTCAGGTTGGCGCTACAGCTCCTTGGTCGCGAGATGCAAGCGCCACGATGAATTGCAGAGACAGTGTGGGACGGAATGCAGGTTTGTTTGCGCCACAGCCCGTGGAGTTCGAAAAGGTCATGACGTACACCATGCCTGCCAAGCCACTGGAAGACCACTACGGGAAGCTTGCCGGCAAAGCATGCATGGCCAATGCCTGCAGCTGGTGCCAGTCCGATTGCAGCTGTGCAAACAGCAGGCCGACGCGTAGGTCGAGGGGCCGCACGCTGCCGATCACATGTAGAGGCAGAGGGAGAGACAGCGGCGTGGAGGGCTGATGATTCGGGTGGCAGGCAGGTTCCAGGTTGGAGAGTGTGGGTGTCTTGAGCTCTTTCCGGGGACTGCGGACTGCCTCCCGAGGGTACCGGAACAGGGACGATTCTCCTCTTCGTGTGGCTGTGGGCCAGAAGAAAAGCGAGAGAATGAAAGCTGTCTCAAAAGCTTGCAGAGTTCTGACCGCCGCCGAAAAAACTCGCACGAAGCGGGCAGTCCTGCGGCCCAGGACCCCAAACAGAAGAGTAAGAAGACATGGTCAGCAGGGACACAGGCAGCGAGACAGAGCGACCGGGAGACACTGCACACAGGAAAGCGGTGGCAGAAGGGCAGACGCGCACGGACACAGACACTCGCTGTTGAATCACTTGAAGAGCAGATTACGCTGAAGAGGTCTGCCGACAAGGTCAGTGTCTGACATACGAATAACTGAAATTGAGAGCGTTTCTGTCGTTGCTTTCCCCTCCATGGCTTCTACACCTCGCGTTGTGCCGTTTTGCTCTTCGTGCTTCTGGTTTCTCCTGCCTTACTTTCACCCGAGATTTGGAGGAGGGTGTGGGGAAGAGCAGAGGAACATGCCGGGAAGCCTCGCAACCATGGTGGCTGGGGAACGCTTCTAAAACTGTTGTACGATGTGGCAAACTACACAACCCGTCTGCAAGGCAGCCTCAAAGGCGAGAGAAGCTCTTAAAGTCAATAACACATAACAACTTACCTACCCCTGTCTGCATCCTTGCAAGCTCTTACAGGTGGATACAGGTAGCACATAACAGATCCCTGGACGTTTGCTGCAAGCTCTAAGCTAAGGCCCGATTGGCACGTTCCCAGGGTCTACAACTACATTCAGAGCCTGTCATGCTGTAAGAACCGCTGCCAAGTCCTCAGGCCCTGCCCTCAGTTTCTTCGGTCTGACCTCGTCGGCTGGAGTCGCTGTAGACTCTATCGAAGCTCTCGTCCTGCAGGGTCCATCCCTTCGATGCCCGCATGAGACGAGTGGAGCTCCCGCCGGCGCAGCCTTGGGAGGAGTTCAAGCCACTTTGCTGAGCAGCCGCACACCACGTGTGAATCTGCGACCAATGTAACAACTGTGGAGTTGCTGTTTTTGGTCACTGATGGCGCACGGCGTGCACGGTTATGTGGCACAGCGCGCGTCTCTGATTTAAGGGGCTGCGCCCAGAGTCGGGCAACGCAGGCAGATCAGTCAATCAATCAGTCAATCAACCAATCAATCACTCAATCATTCAGTCATTCAATCATTCATTCATTCACTCATTCATTGGGCGGGGGCAGGGAAGGGTGGGCGGAAGGGGGAAGGCGCGCGTGCGCGCAAGCCCTCCCCCCCCTTCCCCTGATCCCTCCTCCTGCCCTTCCCGCCTTGGCCAGCAATATGAGCATGCCTGCGCGCGGGCCCTGTCCCGCTTGGTCCCTCCCCCTGCCGCCTCCGTGGCCAGCATCTTTGCGCACGCGTGGGAGCCACCTTTGAGGCCCTCCAGTGAGCATCATCGCATCATTGCTCGCGTGCGGGCACTAATTTGAGGCCTTCCGGTACCCCTCCCGACCTCCGAAAACATCGGCTTACGCCTGCCTGCGCCTGATGGGCCGCTGCACGCGCGCCGGGTGCTCATGATGCTCGCCGCGTGCCGCCAGGTGTCGCCCGCGGGTGCCCCAAAACACGCCACAGCATGGGGAATGGCCGCAAAATGTGCGCGTTGCCGGGTAAGCCTCCCAACCAGGCAGGCCCCGCGCGGCCCGATGGAAAAGGCTTCCGACCCATATAGCTAAAGCTAGCTAGGGCCATGGTCTGCGGCAGCAACCCCAGGGCGTTGCCCGATTTCGGAGAGCCAAAATCGGACCCTCGCCTTGAGCTCGTGCAGGCCCCATTCGCCCTTCCGCCTCTGAAGGGTCCTCAGTGTCTGTCTGTCAATCTCCACGGTGCCGTGCCGTTCGTGGAAGGGGTGACGACGTTTGACTTCTTCGCGCTCCCGCCACGGTCCCGAGTATCAAGAGCGCCTCGACGCGCCGTCCTTCTGCGATCCACTTCCTTTCTCATTGTGAGTCCTGGGATATCATCTAGCGAAGGGAGGTCTTGGGACCATGAAGGGGTGCTGCGAGCGTGGTTTATCACGAAAGCTAGCCTCCGGGGCTAGCTGAGTTTCTTCTCAACCGAAGGTTGCAACAAGGGGTGGGAGGGGCCCTCCTGGACGTGGCCCCTTTTGGACCGGTTTCCGAGTGGGACCACCGGGTCCTTGTTAGGGTGTCTGAAAGTGGTGTTTCAGAATGGAGAAACGAGCCCCCGATGATGCCCATGATGCTTGCCTGTCGGCTCCGATATAAGCCCCGATGATGCTCATGATGGCTTGCTGGCTTGGGTTAGGACTCCAAGTCGGATTTCGTTGCTTGAACCTCTACGCTTGCAAGCCTGTTTGTTCTGTTGCTCTGCCTAGCTTTCGTCCCAGTCCCTCCTCCTCAAGTGGGTATGTCGAGCTTGCAGTACTATGTGGCCATTCACCGTTTGGCGCCTGTGGATTTTGGGACTACACCGGTAGAAGTCTTGGTGCAGCCGCGTCTAGCACTTCATACTCTGCCAAGCCCCGTGTTTGGTCCAGGTCCTCTGTTCGACACTTTCGCATGCTCTATGCGAAGGCAATGGCGGCAGCTCAGAAGACATGGAGGCTTCAAGCCTCTTTCTTGGCCCGGCACCACTGTCTGAGGACTCCGAGCACGAGTTCCCAGAGCAGAAGCTCGATCTGTACAAGTTGGAGTCGAAGCCAGTGGTGCTTTTTCAGGCTGCCAGCATGTGTCTCTCGCCCTCGAACTCAGAATTAAGTTGCTTTGAGGGCAGCCTCTGACCAGACACGGAGATTGGTGCACAGATCTCCCAAGGCAAAGAGGAGGGTAACGTTCCTTGCCCGAAGAAGACTGGCGAGATGGTGTCGCCTTTGTATCGCCCTGCTACTTCGGCAAAGCCGAGACACGCCAGGCCACAATCATGATGCGATGGTTTGGGCGAAGTCGCTCGAGACTTGTGTGAAATGTTGAGCAGGCTTGCCAAGCCAAGGTGCGCTTAAAAAACGGGAAGCACCGGGGCGCACTAGACAAGTATGACGAAGGAATTTACATCATCGACAAGTGCAGAGAGGCCGGCAGCTGCACCGGATTTTGCGCGGGGCAGGGGACACCGTGATCTCGCGGGTCAGGTCCTATTGACATGGCGCCTGATCTTCCGCCAGATTCATAACGAGAAAGCAGACAAGGACAGAAAAGACAGAGGCGTCCCTCGTTGGAAAAGAGTCGGGAAGCCATTGTGCAAAGTTCCGTGTGGCATACAGGTCTCAAAGTTGCTGACCTTGTTGAACCCGACATGCCTCGCCTCTTTATTGGCATTGGAAACTTCAGATCATGGGCCAGTGGACACAGTAGGCCATGCTGTAGTAACAGTTACGCGCAAGGCCAAGAAGCGGAAATCCACCGCTTGGCCGTCACGCTGAGGTGAGTTTCGCTCGGATGAGGACGAGGAAAGGTCTCTGCGTCTTGCACTGCTCCTCAATGCAGCGCAAGCTGCCCTGCAGTGGCTGGGCAAGATCCAAGCCTCCGAACTCCGAGCGAGAATTCCAGTCTGACGCTCTGTCTGAGGTGTCAGGAATGGACCGCTGCTGAAGCTCGAGCATCTGCCGCTTTGGAACTAGAGCATCAAAATAAGTGACTTGACCGCACTTCGGCGGGTCTTCTCACAGCCAAAGTCTTCTGTACCATGTGGAAAGCTTAATTCGTGCTTCCAGGAAAGCTCTGTACCGACGCGGGCTTGCGCGAGCATCTTCTGGAGATGTAGAGGTTTGCTCCATGAGTGCCAGCAAGTCCAAGTGCTGGGCTTGCGCCCCTCCGTCAGGGAGCTAAGCTCGACTTCTGGGCCCTGTTGAAAGCATCCAGCTTCGACAGCAAAGCCGCTGATCATAAGTGAAACGTCGCTTGCTTCAGGGTGTGCTTGTATGTACGTTCTGCTCCAATGCCTCGCCCCTTCCACGCACATGTACATAAGGAAGCTATCAACCAGCTACAGAAGCTCCTCCCTGATGATGTGATCAAAGCTGAGCTGCAAGCTCAGCTACACGAACTTTCGCTTTGTGCGGCCTAAAGTGCTGACCCGGAAGAAACAGCATGCTATCTGCCAGACAGAAAGATAATGCTCGGTTGTCTGCCCTTAGTGTTGAAATGGATTTTGAGAGACATGCGGGGCAGATCGTCTGGGCTGCGGCCGAGCAGGCACCAAGAGGACCGGTATGCGAGCATGGATCCAAGGTTTCAGAAAATGCGGAAACAAGCGGCTAAAGAGCAGAAAGTTGGCGCTCTCCTCACGGACTGGCCTGCTTTCGTGTGGCTCTTGCAGATGGGCGGTGCTGACCGTGAAGCTCAGATGTCCTCGATGCTAGGAGCTTGATGAAGACGAGAGGATTGCAGTTCAAGACGAAAGCAGCATGACTAAATCAGAGGTTAGTACTGCTGACTGTGTCGACCTGCATATGGATACAACACACAGACGGTGTTAATTTGTGCAGGATGCCGAGCACTGCAGAGTTAGGGTGGGTTCAGGCGATCTCCGTAGTACATCGCGAAAGGGGTCCGGACTTGTACAACTTGCACTGCATAGTGCGAACGGTTGCCCACAAAGTACCACTCTCCGCGTTCCGTCCTCTTCCTGCCCCTTCTGAAGTTCAACATGGAGGGGTCGGGGGTTCGTTGCGTGGGTTAAAGAACACTGCTCGAAATCACCAGTCCAGAAAGTGTTTCACAGTCTAATTACATTCTTGCATGATCTTCCATGTATCCATCCTGTCCGACTCGCTGTTTGGCTCACCTGCAAGCCTCCCTCCTTCCCTCCCGCCCTCCCGCCCTCCCTCCCTCTCTCCCTCTCCCTCCCTCCCTCCCCCTCCCCTCCCCTCCTCTCCCTCTCTCCCCCTTTCTCCCTCTCTCCCTCTCTCCCGCTTTCTCACGCGCTGTCTCTATCTCGTCTCTGTCTCTGTCTCCGTCTCTTTCTTTC